TATATATATATATATATGTGTATATATATATATATTGATGTACATATTATCTTATATATACGGAATTATCCGTCATGATCACATAAGTTGAAATCCCACTATATCAGAATCAGACAAGTATGCCTGGTTCACTCAAAGCTTCCAAATTCCCCTGCAAAATTATCATTTTCATATTTAATATGGAGCGTCCATCATTTGCGAAGGTTGACTGAAAGTCGGATTTAAATAGGCGACTTGGCTGAGATCAATTGGTTTGGAGAGTAGGATCAGGATGATAATTTTTCGGGAAACTTTAGAAGTTTCGAGTAGATTAGACATACCTACCTTATTCTGATTTAGTAGGATTTCGACTTGCGTGATCTCGACTGATATATATATATATATATATATATTCACATTTATAAGATATGAAGGCAAATTGGTAGTCTCTAGAAGTTGAAACAGGTCGAGAATGTGTATGTTAATGTCATAATGGCATAGAGACCTCTAATTTTGGCCCAAGAAGTCTTATCTATTAGTTTACATCAACAAGTAGCAAAGTTGTGGATAATTAAACTTGATAGTCTTCTTTAGAATGGGGCTCAAACTTCTCTAAATCATTTTAAGTCGATCCATCCAGCATAGGTTATTGTTTTATTGCTTGTCCTCATTATTTACATTCAAAGAGTTCCCTGGTCTGTTGATTTCAATGGCTTCGCTAATTTTGCATTCTACACCAGACATACCATAATCAGCAAAACCAACGGGTCCACTCTATTTCATCTCCAATTATGGGCATGTACTCTTCAACTTCTGACCTCTTCACACAAGGGCATCTTCAAGCATGTTTGGGCTCTGCCAGTCTTTAGAAAATGGGGCAGACACATGAACACAATTTAGTATAAATCACATTTGAAAAGAGTCAGATTTCTTTCTAAAAGTGGGCATAATCTAAGAAACTGGCACAGTTGCCTTAAAAATTGTTTTGATTCGTTCTTAACTTAAGAGTTCCCCTAAAGAGAGCAAAGTGGCAAGGGTATGACGAGAAAGAAAGTGTCCGATTTACTATCTCTCACCAAATAGTGACCATTTTCAATTTTATTTCCCGCTAGTCTCACATTAGTTTTAACCAAACACAGTAATATACCATGAGATTTCTCGAAAAATAGATTAAATACGTTGAAAAGATCCCAAACAACAACAGACAGGGGCAATACTTGAAGGTGATTACGGTCTGTTTGTTCTGTGAAATTCACTTGGCCAAGTGACTAGATTTCTAGATCTCTAGGCTTGTATTATACAAGGTATGACAAGCTTGATGCTTCCACTTTCTAAACTTACTGTAACTTTAATCTCAGTTGTGAAGACAAGGCTGGTGTTGCCTCTATTTTTTTCACCGTCTCGTTTCCCTTTAAAGAGGTAGTTTGACCTCGTTTTCGCAACTTGTTCGTTTCATCAGAGGGACCTTGTCCGAAGATCTCCGCTAGAGTAGTCATGATACGTTCCAGCATTGGATCTTGGACTTGGTACATCCCCAGATGTTTCGCCGGCATCATCCGCGAGTTTTGCTAATCTTATCGCCAACACACAACTCATCCATGGGACAAGTGAAGTTCACCCCTTGGCCAATTTTATTACGAACGATTGTGGCATCACTCCTTCTTTCCTGGTTCATCCAACTACCCACTATTCTCCTATCTCACTCCATCTAAATTAAGACGTGCAACTTGCTTATTCTAGACCACTCCAGAGATGTTCCCTCTTGAGCGGGTTTTATGGGATTTTATCACACCTCCTATTGGTCTACTTTGCCCCTCCTCTTGAATTTCCGGAATCACTGATCTAACTTGGAACTTCCATCACCAAATTTATTCGTTCAACTCATGTATGAATGTCTATCTCCAACCCACAAAAATCCATTTCTTATTCTCTCTGGCGTACTGATTTCACTCGGTTCCAGTCACCGTAGACGTTTCAGTTTGATAACAATTGTGCTTACTGAATCCTGGATATTATCATGACTTATAAGGCAGAGAAAATGGGACAAAGAGGGTTTACCTGGGTCGCCATGATGACACATCCAAGTTGCAAAAACGAGTTTAAACCAATTCTTACAATAAATTTTTTGCAGTTATAAGAGCAATATTAACCCTATTTCATTAAATTTGATGGCTTCATCAAATATGCTATTTTAGGCTGAAGTTTACTGCTAGTTCCGACCTTGCCCAAGTTTCATTAGCCTCCCCAGTGGGACTCGAACCCTCGTCATGGTAGTGAAGCGTATAGCTTTAACGCTCTAACCACTAAGCCAGACTGCCACAAGAGTCCTTCGATCAAAGAGAAGATGTGAATTTAAAAGACGGCTAGGCGTTTTCGCATATCGCACTCTCTAGTAGGAGTGCCGAGGAAGTAAAGTTGTACATTACTTGTTTTCCGTTTATAAACGAAATAGGCTGAATATCACTCTTATGTAAGGTTTATGGGTAATCTCAAAAGCTTAAATATAG